ATGAATATTAATTATGAGTATTATAATTATTTGGTATCTAAGTTTAGGATTAACTTCGTCCTGGGGAGGAAAAATTTATTTACCAATGGTATCAGAGTCTGTTTGACGAACTGAAAGATGAAAATGGTTTTTTTTTTTTATTTCTTGGAAAAAAATGCAATGTTAAAGACAAGTACATATGTACAGAAGAAAACAATCATACATTTCTTGAACAAAGTATGCACAGAATTCTTAAAATTTGCGATAATCTAAAATCAACGCTCCGTAAGTCAGTGGTCCTCAATTTAAACGGCAGTGTACATTGTTTCCGTGTAGGTCCCGTACACATGCGCTAGGCGTCTTCCTGGATCACCGGTTATGCGTCGCCAAATGTTCAGTAGACCTGTATCACCAAAAAAAATCACACCATTACTTTCTAAGAACATTCTTAATACATTTTCAAAATCGATAGGATTATTTTAAGTGTAACTTAGATGTTTAGCCACATGCATAGCATATTTTTTTTTGTATGCGCTGATGAATAAAGCTATTATAGTCACACAGACAATGCAACAGTGTTGCAATCCTAAATCACTACCTACCAACAGAGTTCCACCCTATGTTTTCAAGATTAATCGATGATGAGAACAAAATCCTCGCCGAAGATATATATATACTCGTAGATGAGACTTTGCTGATGACAGAAAGCATTTGTTTGCTGGTAAACGCCACATACAAACATAGATATCTTCTTTGTTGTTGTAGGAAGGGGGAAGGGTTATAAAGTTTGCCTTTAGATTGTCTTATTGACAAATATTTTACCAAATCTACAAATAATTATTGTAATAGTCGAACTTCATTCAGAACCGAGTTTTAGCGACATACTTATAGTTTCACTCTATTACTAGCGTAGAGTTGTGTACTTCTCTCTAGTTTTTCATTAAATAAATGAATTCTTTCCGCAATTCGAGCATTTCCTCTTTGCGATTGTGAGTAAGATGCATCATGGTCATATTGTGTGTGTGACATGCATTAGAAATTAACACCTTAATCTAACCTATCTCTAGGGAAATATATAATTATGACAATGGTCGAAGTCAAAACAGGGACAGGAAAACTAATGCGACATTCTAACAGCTTACTGCGCATGCTTCATCACATACCGTGTGGTTTTGCTACGCTGCGTATCACGATGCTCTATTCTATAATGTTCAAACCCTATATAGAGAAATATACCAAGTATCAAGGACTACACGTTATAGAATGTCTTTGGCATTACTGCGTAGAAACCATAGATTTTTGTACTCTAAATACTACGGGTTTGAAATACTTTAAATATGAATAAAGCTACCTTGTTTGAAATTTTCATTGAATCCTGCATAAATCAATGGATTCAGGGCACTGTTGGAATAAGCCATTGTGTATGCAGCAAATTCAAACTTGTAGTACCAATCCCCGAGCTGTTAATGAAAAGAAGGACAAAATATTTTTCCTTAGTTATTGTAGAAGTAAACTATTTCAGAGTATTTCTTTAAAAGGAAAATATTCGTAAAATGAATTGAATGACCAATATCTTTATTTTCCTTGCAAATTGAATGTAATACTGTTGACGACTTTGTTTAGAAGATGAAGATTTACATTCTGGATTATCAAACAGTAATGGGTTTTTCGCGTAGCTTTTATATCAAGTCCTGCCCAGATCAAGTTTTCTCTACAAGAACAGACATTTGATGCGAGATTTCGCATTATTTCATTACTTTTTCAGCAATTCTGTCAAGCACGTAGTGTCTGGGGGAGGCTCCCTGGTTAAAGATTTCTAAGGTAAGTTAACAGAAATTTTTCCGTCCCTTTTTAAAAGTATATTATATATTTATATTAACTTTTAGTTCTTGTTGGGATAAGAGGCTGCGGTTTAACAGAAAATTATGTATATTTATTTAACAGATTTAGTTATGAACTGAAAACTGTTTTACTGATTGAAGGTGAAAAATTAACTACTTATGATAAAGTATCTTTCTAACCTTGCTCCTGTTGCCCCTGAGTTCTGTATAGAGTAACATGACCTGACAAGGTAGCCAGCATACACAAAACACGGCCAGGATGGTAATCAACATAATAATAATCTGGAAAAATAAATTACATGCTTGTACATGTTGGTAAGTAAAACAATTCTTAAAGTGTTATTAATGGTCACATTATATCGGTCTCTAACACAATGAAAATTAAATTAACATTGCTATTTGTTCATGCTTTGAAACCAATTAGATTTTATTATTTAACATGAAATCATTATAATTCCGTGTCACTTCAGGTGCGTGAGATACGATTCTTGAAAAATACGTCAACAAAATATCTGGAAAGGTCTTGTCATTGGTAATGCATACATGAAATATGAGAACGTATCTTTTCTCTTCCAAATGTATTTTTTAAGTAGACCAAACTTCAACATTGGTAGGTCAAATGCATTAACAAATTTGGAAATAATGCACGTTTGAAATATGAATCACCGTTAATGCACGTACAAAGTATGAAGGCCCAGTTTTCTCCTTCAGATATTGGAAACCAATATGTATATGAATGAAAAAAGTAAAGGAAAGGAACAGAGATCGGTCTCAAAACAAAATCAATACATTTAGGTGAACAGGGCTTAAACATGGAGCCCGGAAATTCCAGAGATGAGATCAGGTGCCTAGTAGGAGTAAGCATCCTCTATTGACCGGTTACATCCTACATGAACTCTATGTATTGATCTGGTAAACGGAACATCAGTTAAGTATAAAACCAGCATAAAATAGAGGCCTAAAAATATTTGTTTGAAACCAAGTCGGCCAATATCAGGCTACATTTGCTAAAAATGTCATTACATAAAATTCGGACATCAAACGAGGTTGTTTAAATCCCTGTAACATCAACTTCAGTGTAAATAGCCTGTCAAGGTTTAAAAATTGATTGTCTTCAGAGAATGATCTCGAGTAGCGAATACGTTTGGAGACATAAACAACATTTCCCGGTAAAAGCGGAATATTACTACATTTATCAGCCAGGTATGTTTACGATGGGACTTGATATATATATACGCTCTGGGATTTTACGGGACATATATGAATTTAAACAATTGTATAATTATATTGGTTTTTGCTACTCATGTAAATATCAGTAGGTTTTAACTGCATTTAGGATTTAAATGGTTGTTTTTAAATATACAATTTTACAAATGCAGACACGGCTTCGCCTATTTAAATGCTAGTCTGACCTCATGACCAAGACATTCACGGTTACATGTATGTTTTAATTATGACCGCAACGTGAACAGTATCACCATCACAATGTATCAATGTAAACAACTGGCACCAGCCGTAGTCTTAATACTGCCTAGAAATTAGCACTGGCAGTCACAGTAATATTCTTGTTAATTATTTCCACGTCGAAGAATTTCTGTCAGACCCTCTATCAAAAGATCCATTGTTTTTCCAAGGTGTTGAAATTTTTTTTTTTTTTTATCGTACATGTAGAATTGATAGGGAGCAATGACTGGTGCTTCACTGTACAATTGTAGTCTCAAGTTTGTAACGGAATATAAAAGCGAAAATAAAAATTTGATACAGGATTAAAGTTTTGGAATTGTTTATTTGTTTTGTTATTGTATAATTTATAAATAAAAGTTTAAATATTTCATTTTTTTCAGTCGCAAATCGCAGTGGTAAGAATATTTGGAGTCGCTGAGGTGATCTTTGTGACGAGAGTTTGAATACCACTTCTTTTGGTAGCCCTTTTACAGCAAATGTAGACCTCCAGTGTCTTACATGTAATATCAAAATTCTCGAAGGGAATTGACGCTGGCTACTACATTTTTTTTTTCGGAAGAAACAAATTTTTTTTTCTCAAAACCCAATATTTGTAAAGTTTCGGTGGCTGACCAATTTAGTGAAGTTTCGATCAAGTCAGATATTTCAAGTTTGAAGCCGAGTTTATTACAGGTTTCTAGCCCCGATTTGATTGATTTGTACTTTGATGCTTTTAATCACTAATATGACTCGCTTCATGCCTTTATTTTCTGAGTGGTATGTATACATGTAGGTGCATTTGTATTTAGTAGTTTCTTTGGAAAGAAACTTCTTGGAAAGTATATGGCAGTAATATAACGATTACAAAGAATAGATTACTTTAAAAATAAATGTGTTAAAAATTCACTTTAGTTAAAAATTCCTTGAAATAACGTTAAAATAAATGATTAAAGTGAAGATTGAACTCAATATTTTTATGAGAAATGTGTGTTTGTATTACATTTTTACCTGTGAAATACTGTAATTTATTCATTGAATAAAAATGATATCCTGTCACAGTGTGAAAGGATATCAAAATGATATCATGTCACAGTGTGACGAATATCAGAAGTGCGGGAAAACTCTCGATTTCCCTTCCCATAACGAAGATTGCTGTAAAAAAAATCTTCCTTGACCTAATATAAAGTAGATGGAAATAAATAAACTATTCTGACCGCGAATAAAACTGTCAAAATTACCAAAAAATATGTTGCTAAATCCATGTTTACCGTGTTTTTACCTCACGTAGCTATGACGTCTCAACCTCTCATTTATGACGTCACGTACCTATGACTGTATTACGAAAAGACAGAGGCAAACGAAAAATCAAAGATTTTTTTTTAATGTAATAAACAAAAAATTCAGTGTTTTGTAGTTGAATATGAAATTTATTTCACTCGTGAGACAGGATTTTTTTATATTTTCACTCGTGCTTCGCACCAGTGAAAATATAAAAATTAATGTAATAAACCTGTTTTGTAGTTGAATATGAAATTTATTTCACAAGAGAAATAAATTCCATATTCAACTACAAAACATTGAATATCCTTTATATATGCTCGAAATGAAAATTTTATAAATGTTCATACATCTTAAGATTTTAAACGTTATCAAACGCTGAGACGTGATGTGGCGATAAGTGCTATATAAATCATTCACAACGAACAGTCATCGATTTCGTACAGCAATAACTTTACAATCGTGCATGCTCAACGAGACTTAAATTAATTATATTATATAAGATTATTTTCGTAATTTTCATTGGCTGAAAGTAC